CAATGACAGAGAGGACTAGAAACAGAGGGGAGGAAGAAGCCAATTCTCCTTGGGGTTGACACAGAAGACTTCACAGAGAATATAGAACTAGAATAAACAGTTCTGAACGCAGCTACTCAATCATGACTGTGAGATAATAGAAAATATATATTTGGTCTCTGCCCCTGATTCCTGGCACAGAGCTCCTAAAACCCTTGTAAATTCGTAAGTGATAAGAGCACTAGAAACATCTTTTGTTCTAATGAGGTGACTCTTGATTGGCTCCTGAATGGGGGCTGGTCACCAGAAAGACCATGCCATGATTAGAAGCTTGTAATTTTCAGCCCCAACCACCATCCTCCAGAGAAAAGACCAAGGCTGGAAATGGAGTTAATAATTAATTGTACCTACATGAGGAAGCCTTGAAGAAATTCCTATAGTAAGGGATTCAGGGAGCTTCCAGGTGGGCGAACATTTCCACATACTGGGAATGTGACATACCCCAACTCCACAAGGACAGAAACTTCTGCACTCAGGACCCTCCCAGACCTTACCCTATGTATCTCTTCATCTTGCAGTTCATCTGTATCCTTTATCATATTTTTTATATATTTCCCTGAGTTCTGTGAGCCACTTTAGCAAATTAACCAAGATGGGGAGTCACTGGAACCTCTGGGATCTAGAGCTGGTTGTTCAGAAGCACAGATGTGGGGGACAGTTTTGTGGGACTGGGCCCTTAACTTGTGGGATCTGATGCCATCTCCAGGTAGTTAGTGCTAAAATTGAGTTAGATTGTAGGATACCCAGTGACAGAGAATTGCTTGCTGCGGCTAAAAACCTCCAAACATTTGGTGACCCAAAGTGTTAGAAGTGAAGAGTTCTGTGGGAGTAGTGAAAGAGACACAAATAGGAGAAATACAGGAAAGAAAGACACTGTAGGGAAGAACTGGGTTTTCCCCTACACAGGAGACTCAAGTGGGTTTTTCCTTTACAACAACCAACGGTTCTAATCTTAGCTAGTTAATCATGAGACAAAAAAACAGGAAACCGGAGGGTCTGTGTCTTGTCTGGTCAGCAGATTGAGGTAAAAAGGAAGGTCTATGTTTGGCTTGTCACCACCAAACAAAAACTTGCTTTTCTAAATGCCTAGATTCCTATCAGAGACCAATAACCTACTTGTTTGCATACTGGATCCCATACTGTTACACCGACACTTGGTGGTTTTGAATTCAAGGAGATCTTTTGCACCCACAAGACCTCAATAGGTAGTATATGACACAAGTTTTACTCAGCTCTGCAGAAAGATATGAGACAGGACAGTTCTCAGAGCAGTCCACCCCATCCTCTCAACCCTCACAAATGATAGCTCAGGTGCTAGAGACCATAACCACACTGGAGAGGACAGGTTTCTAGCTTAGAAACCCTAAGCTGTCAAAATTCAAGATGCACACAGCCTTTGACCTAGAATTCTCACCTCTAGAAAGTTATCTTCCGGATCAGATATGGATACAAACTGAAATATACATGGATGTGTTGTTTATGTCATCAAAAGGCTAGAAATACACTAAATGTGCATCCCTGGCAGAAGGTAAATATATAAAGGTATTTCTAGCCAGTGGGATATCAATCAGCCACTTTGTAAGTGGGGTAAAACCTTGGGTGATTTTGTCTGCCGGGGAATATTTGGCAATGTCTGTAAAAATTTTTCATTGTCATGACAAGGGGAATGGGGTGGGAGTGCTGACATCGAGAGGGTAGAGGTCAGTGATATTGCTAAATTCCTCCAATACATACAAAAGCCCTCCACAACATAGCATTATCTGGCCTAAAATGTCAAGAGTGCCAATTTGAGAAAACCTGGGGCTAACCAAATACACAGTGAAGTGGAATGATCATGAAAATGATCAGAATGTGTTGTAACATGTGAAAAAGAAATAAAAAGGAAAAGGGATTCTTATATAGAGATAGATATACATACCTGATCTCTGGAAGAATGTAAAAAATGAAGGAGACAGGGGGACAAGGAGAGAGGGAGAATTATTTTTCACCTTTTGTTAAACAAAGCTTTTGTTTGAATTTTTACCGTATGTACAAATTACTTTTAAAAGTCTTCAATTCAATTTATTAATGCTCTATTCAGAATACATTTTTAGAATTTTAGTATGCATATTCTTAAGTGAAGATGGTCTATAGCCCAGCTAGCTTGGCTCAGTGGTTGAGTGTCAACCTAGGATCCAGGAGACTGGGGTTCGATTCCTGGTCAGGGCACATGCCCAGGTTGTGGGCTTGATCCCCAGTCAGGGGAGTGCAGGAGGCAGCCAATCAGTGACTCTCTCATCATTGATGTTTCTATCTCTCTCTTCCTTTTCCTTCCCCTCTCTGAAATCAATAAAGACATATATATATAAAGAAAATGGTCTATAATTTACATTGTAGTATTTTCTTCAAATTTAAGGTTAAGTGTCTTCATAAAATGAACTGGATTCCTTTTCATCTTTCAAGAGCCTAAAAAAGCTGAACATAGAAGTGACCTGGTCTTTAAAATTTTGTGAAAGTAGTAATTAACTTAGGATTTGAAGTGTGAATACCTTTGACTTAAAATTCCAACTTCCAGGTGTACTCTACATAAATATCTGCACTACTGGACAAACAGATACATAGAAAGTTGTTCAAGAATCACTGTTTATAACAGAAAAAGAAAATTAAAAACCTAAGTATCCATGAATAGAGAAAAGGTTAAATGATACACCCATACCATGAAATATAACTAAAATAATCTTTATGTATTCATGAGGAACACCACCCAGACTATATAATCAGGTTTGGGAAAAGCAAGATGGGTATGGGAGCAGGATGACATTGGTCCAAAAACACATACAACATTACTTATGTATCTGTTTTTAGTTAATTAAACTGACGTAAATGTATCCACACCACATTATCACCAAACTGTTAATAATTGGGCATCTTGAGGAAGAACATGGAAGCAAAAGTGAACTGGAAGTGGATAAATGTAAGAAGCAAGATGAATCTATGTATTTAAACAATCTTCCCTGAGAAGGATGAGGTGAATTTCCCAGAGGAAAAAGCAGATGAGAAAAGTCTTTGTCTTTCTATCTTTTCTTATTCTTGTGTGTATGGGAGGAAGAGGGTAAGGATTGGAGAAACCTGAGGTGGATTATAGGTTGAACAGAAAACAGCCAGAGCAGGGGGGATTAACAGATTTTTAAGGTTACATTATAGATTTCCCAAAGCTGCCTCAAGCTCACTGGAAACAAAGTAGGGGGTAAGCGAGGCACTCACCTGGGATCCGGCCATCCTGTTCTGCCCTGGACAAAGGATGGAGATCTACAAAGGCAGAATTAGGAGGGTCAAGATCAGTGCATACAGCCATGAAACCATCATCATCAGCCTAACAATCATCATCCTTGTGCCCTGGGTAGAATGACCTGGAACCATGGCCTAGTAGCGTCAGCCTATTCCCTTGAGATGTTGCTAATCACTTGTGGGCTTTCTTTTCCGCTTCCTGGACAGATATATAAAACTTGTGCTTAAAAACATCTACTCAGAAGCTATTTATAACCCAGAACCTCCTTTCTCTCAATAATTCTATTCCTGGAAATTTATCATAAAAAAGCAAACACAAATGAGCACAAAGCTGCAAGGATGTTAACTGTGGTTGTTTCCACCATTCAAAAATTTGGAATCAACTAAACCTCAGGTAAAGGGGACTCCACTAAAAAATAAGAAACACAAATGGGAATATCACATGAGCTTTAAAAATGGTGTGGAATCTTGTTTTTATTTTTCAACATGTTTAACAGCAGGTTACAGAAAAGCAATTGCAATGTGATCCCATTTGTTAAGCAGTATGTATGTACTAAAAAAGAGCATTTATTAAAATGTTGACAGTTACCTTTGAGTGGTGATTTCACCTTTCCTCTTTTGTTTACTTGCATTTTCTCATTTTTGACAATGAGTATTAATTACTAGTCAAATACAAATTAAAAATTATTACAACTCACCAGTTATCACACTGAGCCCTATAGGTGATAGACCTTGAGCAAATTTTGGAGGAAACAGACAAACCAGGGCTGAGAGGATCTGGGAGGTGAGGAGCCCAGCACTGGTCAGTTGCAGTGGATCTGGAAACCACTGACCTTGCCCCCTGTGCCTTCTGCCCTCCAATGGTTCATTACTACCCCATGATTTTCATTCGGTTGCCATGCTCTTCCTTGTTGGGCAGTTTTGAAAAGAAAGCTTGAGCAAGGAACTTTTGTGCAGAGTAACTGTTATTACAATCCCTGCAGCAGCACTGAGATAATAGGGTTTAGCACCTGTAGCTTAACAAGTCATGTTCTCAGGCCCAGTTACAGTAGCATCAACAGAAGGCAGCAAAACTGAATGATAGCATACCTAGCAAGGTCTCCGAAATTCCACAAATTAAAAACAAACAAAACTAAAAACAATTTTTTAAAAACTTATTCTCCACTTGGGCAGGGTAGAAGAGATTCAACATTTCTGCTAGAGGCAGGTGGGATGTCCATACCACAGAAGTGACTCAAATCCAGAGGAGACAGCCAATGGCAAAAGAGGGGAGCGTAATGCTCTGTGCACAGGTCTGGTGGGAGAGGAGAAAGCCCTGTAAGGCCGGTAGTGATCCTTCCCAGCCTGATCCTAACCTTGCAGGCACTACAGTAAGGTATTTCCCTCATGGCAGTACCTCTCCATCTGTCTGTAACTTTCATCTCTCTAACAGCAGTCCAATTGCCATTGTTACACAGTCCTTCAGTATGGCTGGAAGTTGAGCCAGCATGCCAGCCATGCTCTTTCAGCTGGAGGGAGGAACAGAGGCCACTGTGGGTCCAGCTCTTGTAGGACCAGTTGTCCTGTGAGCCTCCTCCCTCTGCCCTGAACATCTGGGTAGGGCTCTGGGCTAGGGCTTCTCCCCCAATTCTCCTCACAGGAACTCTCTGGTTCCTGAGAAGGCAGGCCTGAAGGGTTCAAAGACAAACACATCTTAGCTGGGGCCATCACTTCAGCAACAGGTATCTGTTTCTGATCTGGGGAACTCACCTCCTTCAGGAGCCTCAGACTGAGTCTTCTGTACACTAAAGAAGCCGGGGGCAGATAAGCTGGAGCCTGAAGATGGTGAACAGTGGTCTCAGTTATGCATCCTGACCCTGGAAAGACAATGACCACACAAGAGATGCAATTAGCAACCTCCATGATAGAGTGAAGTTGAGGAAAACCCTTGTTTTACTGGACATCAGGAGGCACAGTGTCCCATTCTAGTTTTAGGTGTTAACATTTAGTAAGAGCTCAATTATCCGCAGACCAGGAGCTAAGCACTGCCTTACTTCAGAAGAGTCTGGGCTTTGGAAATAAACTGACTGCGTGCTCTACCACTTTTATTCATTCAATTAAAAAGGTGAGTGCTTACTCTATGCATGTTCTACTTTCATCGTGTTGGAAATAAACAAGGGAACAAAATATCTGAGCTCCCTGATCTTGTGAAGCTATAGTCTAGGAGAGGAGTCAGAGAATAACAAACTTGATAAATAAGTTTAGGTACATTAGAAAGGGGATCCACCGGTTTATTAGCTGTGTGACTATGGAAACGTTCCCGAGCTTTTCCGTTCTTTCTTTCTCTCTATAAAATGACGATAATCCTAATACCTACTCATAGGGCTATTGTGAAAATTAATGTGTAATTCAATGCCGCCTAGCATTTACTAGGCACTCAGTAAATGGTCGCTCAATGAATCCCTCAGTCACTCCCTGAAATCCACAGACCGAACCCGCAACGCTCATCGCACCCCTGCACTGTCACTCGATCCCCAAGGATGCGAACCCATCACCCCAGGACCCCTCGGACCCTCCCCATCAAGGAGTTCCCCAACTCCGCCTCCCCTTACTTTGCTCCCAGGAACCGACATCTTAGGGCGGAGAACAGCAAGCGGCGGTACTCCCACAGTCTTCAGGATCAGCTGAGCACTTCCGCTCTGTCACCCAGTCACCCCGGAGCCTGAGGTCGGAGTGCAGCGCAAGCGCAGGAGTGGTGCCTCCCCCCACCCTCTCCGCCCCGCCCCCCAT